GCCTATACACATTTCTTTCTTCGCCTTGTTTCATAAACCCAGATGGTTGTGCGACATTAACTTCTTCATCAAAGGGGCCATTAAGGAATGCATATTTCACATCCATCTGACATGTGTGCTAATTGTTCATATTTATTAGACCAACAACCAACCTAATTGTTTCAATCTTAGCAATAGGTGCAAACACTTCGTCGAAGTCGATTCCTTCCTTCTGAAGAAATCCTTTTGCCACAAGTCTTGCCTTGTGTCGAGTTACTTCTCCTATAGGATTCACCTTCACCTTGTAAACCCACTTCACATCAATTGCCCTCTTGCCTTGAGGCAATTCGATAAGTGACCAGGTGTTGTTGACTTCGATGGAGTCTAAAACCTCATTCATTGCTTTCAACCACTTTGAATCTTTTAATGCCTTAGCTGCATTGACTGGTTCGACATATGCGTAGAAAATATAGTGTACCATATCACCCTCTTCATCGACCACATCATTTGATGTAATCGCACATTCTTGCAACCTTGCAGAAATGTGTCTTGTTCGTCAAAGTCTGCTTGGGTCTGCTTCATCTTTGACTTGTTCCTATCGAACTTCTCTTTCAACTTCAGTGGCTGGTTATTCACAAGAGATTCTCATTGAATCCTTCTTGACATTCTCAGTCCAATCCCATTCTTTAAGCTCATCTATGATCACGTCCCTGCTGACCACTACCTGCTTATTCATTGGATCGAACAACTTGTAACCTCCAGTCAAATAATATCCTATCAAAATCATCTGATTCGACTTCTCATCAAGCTTCCCTCTCAACAGATTTGGCACATGTCTATATGCTATAGATCCAAACACCTTCAAGTGACTGAGGCTAGGCTTGACACCATACCAGCATTCTTCTGGTGTGATTCCTTCAAGCTTCTTCTTCGAACATCTGTTTAATATGTATGTTGATGTCGAAACTGCTTCTCCCCATAAATCTTTCGGTAAATGCTTTTCATTCATTACACTTCTCACCATGTTCATGATGGTTATGTTCTTTCTTTCTGCAATTCCATTTTGTTGTGGAGTGTAGGGTGGCACCACATCATGCAAAATCCTTTTTTTTCACATAATGTATTGAAATCTTTCGACACATACTCTCCACCACCATCAGTCCTCATAATTTTCAACTTTCGACCACTCTGTCTTTCGACCATAGATTTGAATATGGAAAATACCTTGTTCACATCACTTTTCTTCTTGACGAGGTAAGTCCATAGCTTTCGGCTGTAATCATCTATAAACGTGACAAAGTATTTGTTTCCTCCAATCGAATCCATCTGGATAGGACCACATACATCAAAGTATATGACTTCCAGAATTTCCTTCGACATTCTTCTTGCATCCTTGCTAAATATATTCTTATTTTATTTCGACTGAACACACTCTTCACATACTTCACTTGGAATGTTGATTTCAGGTAATCCTAAAGCCATATTTCTTCTCTTTAGCTCTCTGATGTCATTGAAGTTTAGATGGCCTAGTCGAAAATGCCATAACCACTCATCTTTGTTGGCTGCAGTTGCTAGGCACTTGTGCTCCATCACATTGAGTTCAATATTAAAGGTCTTATTCTAAGACATTGGAGCCTTAAAAATCAACCTACCATCTGTGTGGAAAATTCTCATCATCTTGTCTTCGACAACTACCTTGTAGTTCTTTTTGACAAGTTGTCCTATACTAAGCAGGTTGCTTTTCATGCCTAGTATGTATAACACATTGGAAATCATTGATTTTTTTCCATCCTTCCTCACGGTCTGAACATCATCAACACCTTCAGCTGCTAGAGTGTTGTCATTTACAAACTTCACTGTGTTCTTCAACAAGGACTTCATGTTGACAAACCGATATTTCCTTCCAGTCATATGTGATGTGCATCCTGAGTCAAAGTATCATTGGTCCTGGAATCTCTCTTCGTCTCTTATTGTGACCATCAACAACATCTCTTCTTCTTCATGTTTCTCCAGATTTGCATCAGTTTCTTGATTCTTCTACTTTTCTGGACAATCACTAAAATAATGACCATACTTCTGACAATTGAAACACTGAATGTGACTTTTGTCAGACTTTTGACCACCACCTCTTCCTCTACCTGTAGTATCAACTCTTTGGTTGCCTTAGTTCCAGGATTTTCTCTGATTCGACCAGTTTTCTTCTTGCTGATTTCGACCAGCCGAATTGGTGTAGCCTCATCTACCTTTGTTGTCATTCCAACTTCCTTTGCCTTTCCTTTCTTTTTCTGACTGCATCTATAAAACTATATCACTCTTCGACTTTCCTGCAGCTCTTTCAGCCATCATTTGTTCATGAGACTCAAGCGTCCCTTGAAGCTCTTCCTTCGTCAATATTGACAAGTCTTTCGACTCTTCTATGGCTACTACCGCGTGGTCGAATTTTGGAGCTAATGACCTCAAGATCTTTGACACAATTGATCTTGATGTCAACACTTCTCAACATGCCTTGATTTGATTCACCAGCTTTGTAACTCTGGTGAAGAAATTTGTTATACTTTCATTATCTTCCATCTGAAATAATTCATAAGTCCTTTTGTGAGTTTGTAACTTCACCTCTTTCACCTTCTATGCGCCTCTAAACGATTTTCCAAGAATCCTCCAAGCTTCTTTTGCCGATTCTACATCACTAACCTTTTCAAAGTTATTTGAATCAACACATTGATGGATTATAAATAGAGCTTTATAATCTTTCTTCTTCAATTCTTTATATGTTGCTTTCTCCTGATCTGTCACAGTTTCTACAAGCGGTGATAATCCCTCATTCACAAGATCCCAAAGTCTTGGTAATAGGAAACCACCTTAATTTGCTTGCACCAATTCTCATAACTATCTTTCTTGAGAATCGGAAGGTTCGCCGGAAAGTGCATGTTTGGGTGATTCATCGTCATCACAGTTTTCTTCCTTGAATCACAACCAGAGCTCTAGATACTAAATGTTGGAATTCAACCACGATCTATGGTGAATTTTTTTCAATCTTGATCTCAAGATTGTTATGTAATGACAATGAACAAAAACAAGAACATGTTTAAAGAAGATGAGTATGAACTACAAAGTAACTCTCTTCCCACAACTGTGAAATTTTATTATCACTCTGCAACTGTAAAACCGTAATTATCAAACTTAATGATTACAATGATAAAGGTTCTTCCCTATTTATAGATTTATATTAACTTGCATCTCAAGTTAAAGCGCAAACTATAAAAGCCAAAAAATATCTAATCTAATCTTTCTAAATCAAATCTGATCTTTTAAAATCAAATATAATCTTTCTAAAACAATAAATTACATATCTAACAATTCAGTAAAATAGTTAGTGTTTTCACAACACAACTTTTGAATATTTATAAATTTTTTGACGAATTTTTTATCTATTTGCGTTCTTTTGTTTTTTCTTTTTATTTAAGATTGTTTTTCTTTCTTTTCTCTTATTTGAGTTGGTATAGCCCATTATTTTATGTATAATTTTTTTATTTATAATATAATTTTAGTCTTTTAAAAAAAACGATTTAAAAGTTGAGTTTATAAAAGAAAACTAGAGTCTCATAAAAAACGATAAAAAGAAAAAGCAGTTAAGTCAAATACCAAGCGAGCAATTTTAATGCAATACTTGTTGTATCTAAAGGGAGAAAAACTGAGAGTTCATATATCTGAGTTACGAGCCGTCCAATTACAAAATTCAACATAAGACACAATCGCTCCCGAAAAAAGCAAAAATATTGTTGAACAAGAAAGCAAAAAAAATAAAAACATGCCAATTCTAAGTTTATTACAAAAATAGTTACAGCAAACATTTATTGTGGGTTAGTACTTAGCAAATTCTATCCTGAGGCTATGCTAGTTGTCTATATGCTTTACTTTCCACATACGTTCATCGTCATTATCAATGACTTGCGTTCTGTGGCACCAAAATAATGACCCAAAATAAAGCAAATAATGCAGTTAATAACACGTCTTAGAATCCTCCCTTTGTTGATCATAATCCGTGAACGTTATTGCTTTTTAGTTTTCACTTCATAAACAATACTCCATCATCCATTCATAAATATCATAATTATCATCATAATAATAGTAATAACCCACCGCCTAGTAACCATAGCCATTTTGTTCCTTCCACTTGTGTGTATAAATCATTAATATCTTCTTAATTGTTAAAATTAATCAATGTCCATTAAGTGATTTATGTGGCTCAAATACATTGTTGGTGCTTAATCAATCTTCTTCAACCAGCTACAATTCCATTATTTCATGTCATTAATTGATATTGCGGTTAAGATATTATATTTAATTAAACATTAATACTCTAGCTAGTAGTAAAACTTTGCTGTTCCCTCATCCATGGTCCATCCAATTTTAAAATTTTCACTAAAATAACCGTTCTAAATTAGTTTTAGTTTCTAGAAACAAAAATAGGTAAAAACTTCATAACAACCTACCAGCGTACACGTGTCATGTAGTACTCAAAACCTTGTTTCACCTCCACGTGTCAACATCACAACACGTGATACGTGTCATTGAAGCAAACGGAAAATATATTTTCACACCACCTAAAAAATAAAAGAACTTTTCATTTCATTTTATTTATTTAAATTTTAGTTTTATTTTATTTAGATTTTAGTTTGACGCCGAAGTAGACGAATTAATTGGGATCACACATACCAAACTTTACCAAAAAACAAATTATACTCACCCAATTGGTCAATTTTTAAATTTCTAAATTTTTTCTCTCTTTTTTTATGCATATAAAATATAAAAGCGCACTAAAAAATAATCTTCTACCACTAATTCATTTGATCCTATTTCTATATATCCCAAGACAGAACCTCTCCACACACTTTTCCTTTATTTTTGAACCAAACTCTTTCACTTTTCCTTTATTTGTAGTTCTTTTTCTCATAGCTGTGAACAAAATTAAAGCTATCAGAATCGCGTTTCAAAAGCAGAAATAGAAAGAAGAAGCTATCATGATGGAAACCATGCAGCCTCAGAAGCAGAGAGACGAAGGAGAAGCTTCTTTTTCTTCTTCTCATAATCATAATCACGTTTCGCCTTCTCCAAGTTTCAGCAGCTACTCATCGGAGACACTCGCCGAGATCGCCGCCAGAGTAATCGACGAGCTTCGATGGGATCCTCATTCCGTTTCCGACGACGACGCGCTTTACCAACCGTGGGAAAACGACGTTACCTTTGCTGCTACTCCAAACGAAGATGAAGATGCCGGTAGTGAGTTTGAGTTCGCGGTGGTTTCGACGGACACAGCGAATTTCCCGGTGGTTTCCGCGGATGACATTTTCTATAACGGTCAGATCAAGCCTTTGTATTATCCTATTTTTGATCAAAATCTTCTAAACGACGAAGACGCTGTTTCTTCCGTGACGGTTTCTAATGAAACTACACCACGACGTCGTTTACCTTTACGGACGCTGATGTTTGAGGACAACGAAACAACGGTGTCGTGTTCGTCGTCCACTGACGAGAGTGTAGACGTAGAAGCTGTAGCAGAAGGGAGTTACTGCGTGTGGAACCCTAATTCGGTTGGAATTGAACGAAAAAAGAGTAGCTCCGCCGGTTCTGGATCGAAGCGGTGGAAGCTTCGGAACTTGCTTTTGAGAAGCCATAGCGACGGGAAGGATAAGCAGCCAGTGATGTTTCAGATACCGAAAACGACGGCGAGTAAAGGTTCGCCGTCGGTGGAGCACGACGGGAAGAATCAGAGTAAGAGGAAGTCGTTTTTAACTTACAGACCCGAATTGGTTGGACTTTTTGCTAATGTCAATGGGCTTGGCCGGAATTTGAACCCGTTTTGATTTTTAGACCCGAATTCAACATTATCAGTATTTTTATTTATTTATTTTTAATCATACTGTATTACGTGCCATGTCAATCTAATTAATTTATAGTTTTAGTTGATTTAGTATTTTTGCGCTGGGTATTATATCGTAATTAAAGAGATTGAGATGTAGTAGTATTTATTCTTTTCTCTGTAAATTATTTTGAATTTTAAGTTATTTTTTGTCCGATATCAAAGTTCTATTAGGTATGGTTTGTTTGTATTTGAATTAGTGTGGTGGTGGGGTTTTTACTTTTTATGTATATAAACTAAGATATTTGGGTTGCTTTTAGGCCACAACGTGTATATAATCTATTTTAATAGTATCATCAGTGTTAATTAATTAATGTTGTTTGCAATTTTGGATAATGAAGAAAGGTTGATGCGTCTCTAACCTAACCCTCGGCACTGCAAATGCATGGTGGGTTCTAATTATGCAGCGCCTAAGTTTGACAGATTCTTTTTTTTTTTGGCTCTTTCGTGTTTGTGTGTCTTACGCGGTTAAATTTTGGATTAGAAGATTATTATGCTAAAGATAAGTAGAATAGTGTGGAAAAGGAGAACCGAAATAGTCTTTGGTGGATAAATAAATCACTTTAGACCCGGACATCATGTGTACTTGTAACAATTCTAGGAGTACTTTACTACTCTTTCCCTTATGTGAAAAACGTCATTTTACATTTTTAGAAATATTTTAAAAAAAATCAAATTTATCCCCCCATTTATTATTTTTTTAAAGTCAAATCCTATTTATTAAATTATTAAAAAATATTATATAAAAAAGAAAAATTATAAAAACACTATCTATTTTGAAAAGACTAGTAAAATTTTCAAGGGTTAAATATAGCTGAGGTCTCTTATAAGTAGGTCAATTTTCAAATTTAGTCCATACATTTTTTTTTTAAATAATAGTCCTTATTTTATGTCTCTATATGCAATCTCTTCCATTAGTTTCCACATGTGGCATGGTGCCTGTGTAATTTTCATGGTCACGTTATATTTGTTTTTAAATAATATATTTTTTTAATAATAAGACGTAGATCCAAACGCAGGGGAACCTTAATCTCTTTCTTCTTGTTATTTCACTATGTTCCTCCATTATATGCATATTCTTCTGATCTCATTGTTCTTCTTCTTATTCATCTTCCTCCTCCATCTTTGACATCATGTCATCTTTGTTTATCGTGAAAATTAGTAAATAACCGCTGGTCTTCCAAATCAAAAAGAATTTGGTTACTTACAGAATTGACCATACAAATCCTATGATATGTGCTAGTAAATCTTAAAATAAAGTTTGGAAACTAGTGAATACTTCGATGGTATTCATGATCTAAAAGTTAACAACTTTAAAAATTTAAAAGAAAGTAAATTGAAGAAACTTAATCAAAAAGCAAGTGAATGTATTGAAAATAACTTGGGCAATAAAGAAGATAAACTTGTGGTAAAAAGATAAAACTTGAATTAAAGTGTAAAGATATGGTGTTTTGTCAAGTATTTTCTCCACACACTCTTTTCTCTGCACACAGATACTTTGAGTAATTCTAGAGATTTTGTACAACTTTGAACACACACAATCTTAACGCTAAGACTTCCTATTAATACTGGTCGAAATAACTGCATCTAACGGCCTTCCTACAAAAATAAGACAAGTGGCGTTCGACATGTCTTCTTTTCTTGAAAATGCTCCACGTGTCTCTTTCAAAATTCTAGATAAGAACAAAGTTCCCTCCTTCATTTGAATTCAAATCTTACGTCAAAACACCATCAGTAATTCTCTGTCGAATCAAGTTCCAAGACTTAAAATATTTTCTCAAATCTGTTCAGCATATTCTCCTTGTACAAAAAGGTGACTTCGATAAAAAAATAACCAGGTTTCACAATTTTTTTGAAACTTCTCAAAACTTCATATAAATTGTTTTTCTTTATTGTTTCCATTAATCCAAGCTAGGCGTCGAATTTGGGAGCTAACAGTTTATCAAGGTTAAGTAAGTTGGTGTCGTGCCATTCCACCACGAGTGTGAGGAACTGTGGAGTGAAAATGTTTTGGAGATGTTTGTATTGGAAAAACGAGGGTACTTACAATTTATTTATTTGGGATGATGAAATTGCATGAGGAAAGGATGATGATCAATGTGTAGATGCATAATGGAGGAAATATGAGAGTAAGATGAGGGATATGCAAGCTGTAGAAACTTTGAAGAAGCTTTATGAATCATCAATGAAGAAGAACAAGAGGTTGAAGATGAAGATCAAGGCAGAGGCATTTTGGAGAAAGCTGAAGACAGTTTGTGTTGTAGTTTCATTCTTGGTCAACATGTATTTTTTAATTAGGTGTAATTGTTAAATTGATCTTTGTCTGTAATGTTGTCTAGTTGGTTTTGTCTATAATATTATCTCATTAGTTTTGTCTGTAATGTTGTCTCATTGGTTTTGTAATGTTGAATTTGTATGAAATAGATTTTGGTGTAAATGTTTTTGTAATGTTCAATTGGTATGGCATATGATTTGGTTTGAAAAGATATGGTTCAGTTATGATCTTTAATATCCATACAATGTGGCCTGTATTTTTCACACAATCTGACATATAAATTAGACATAGTGTAATGTATAATATTGACATAGTATGATGTGTAATTTTTCACACAAGGTGACCTAAAATTTTGACAGAAACTGACCTATAATATTGCCATTAAGCGACCTATAATTTTGGAATAATATGAACTATAATTTTCACACAAGGTGATCTATAATTTTCACATTGAAATTCACACGGATTTCACCAAAATAGTTGTTACATCAGTACATTACATTAACGTAGGATCATTTGTTCAAAATAGTGCATCGATGACATTACATTAGCATATCATAATTTGTTCAAAAGAGTACATTAATACATTACATTAGAATATCATAATTTGTTCAAAATAGTACATCAGTGACATTACATTCACCCAAACATAGGATAGCAAAACAATACATTCAACAAAACATCAAAATAGTTGTTCCTGAAGAGGTACATTGAGCAAAATACTTGTTCCTAAAAAGCTACATTCAGCAAAACATCAGTTACATCAAATACAACATCTTCATTGGGTTAGACCCTTGCAAATTGTGTTGTCCTCTTCAGTTATAACCGGTTGTGCTTCCTTGGCAGTTGCTTTCTTGACTTTTCCCTCCTTGACAGTTGATTCCTTGACAGTTGCTTCCTTGACCGTTGTATCTTTGACAGTTGCTTCTTTGGCTTTTCCCCCCTTGACAATTGTTTTTTTTTTGGATTTTCCCTCTTTGACAGTTGCTTCAGTGAATTTTGTTTTATTGGGTTTCTTGACTTTTGTCTTCTTTGTTCCACCCTTAGTTGTACCATTGTTGGTAGATTCCTTAGGCCTCCCCTGCATGAGACAAGCATAACATTAACATTGTTACTGAGTCTTATAATTAATTACATACAAGCACAAAAATTAAGTAGAATATTACCCTTTTTTTGGTGCCAAATTGACATGGCTAGTTTTACTTACTTGTGTAGGCATCTCATGAGATACTTGTGTAGGTAAGTCCTGAGTCACCTGTGTGGACATCGCTTGACTGACCTGGGTGCATATCCCTTGACTGGCCTGGGTGGTATTTCTAGAGGGAACAAGCACAATTTGCTTGTTCTTCTTGCAGGTCCTTTTGTTGTGGCCTAGTTCAAAACAAGCTTTGCACCTATGGCTTGTATTTCTTTTATGCCATTTTGTTTGGTTCACTTCATCATGCTCTCTCCTTCTAAGTTTCTTGGGCATCCCTGGGTCACGTTTGAACAAAGGGGGCATCATAGTTTCATTAGGTGTTCTAGGCCATTTGTTCTGGCCATTTAATGGGGTGATCACCTAACTAAAACATTTTAATATGTGCTTTTGTGATAACACTTATGCACAAATTTGACTGGGTCATCTACTTTCCTATGTATGGCAGTCACATCTTGTCTACATGGAATCCCAACAAGTTCCCAATAGTTGCAGGAGCATGTTTGTTTTTCCAAGTCCACTACAAAGCTATCAGTAAACAATACATGTGTGACTTGAAAGGTTAATCTACCAACATAAGTTGTTGTCCAACTAGCACTTTTTCAATCTCTCTATCTAATCTCCTTAATGATTTTGTCATTATTTGTCCTTTATAACCATATATCTTTTCTCTAAGGGTTGCAAACCTTCCCATTAGATAATTCCTAGTCCACTCAAACATGATCATTATTGGTTTGTCTCTTTGTAAAAGAATTGTTGCATTAAAAGACTAACTTAAGTTGTTCATTAACACATCACACTTTGAGAAAAAAAAGGAAAAACATGCTAACACCACTTTATTTTGGGAATTGCCTCTAACCACTCATAAGCCTCTGAACTGACCTCCTTAATCATAAGCATCTTTGTCTCATGTGCCTCAAAGTTGCCTTTGCAGCAACCATCATAAGATCTCTAAACAAAGTTCCTCCTCCAAAGTTCTTTTTGAAGTTAGCATATAAGTACCTTAAATAGAACCATTGTTCATATCCTAGGTACTCCTCTTCAAAAACCCGAACTAGTCCTTATTCCAAGAATATAACAATTGCATTAGTACAATCAAATGCTTGGAAAAATAAAAACTGTAAAAACACAAAGTTTGATGAAATTCAAACTTAATATTTGTTGGTTAGATAAGAAACACCATCTGCTATCTTCTATGTCTTCAATGAGCAATTTTAGAAACCAGCTCCATGAATCTTTTGTTTCAGTCTCAACCATAACAAAAGCAATTGGCAAATATTGATCATTAGGGTCTTTTACAAAACGGCCCTTTGAGTAAAATACAACCTTGAACTTATCCATTTCTTGTTCACAAAATTTAACCTAAGTTTAAAATTTACCACAAACCTATCAAACTGATTTACCCTAATTTTTTCTAAAATTGACACAAAAGTTAAGTCAAACATATCAAACAGATTTACCAAAATTTAACCTA